TTTCAGATATCTAACAGCACCTGTTTTCTAGTATGTATTAAATATTAATAAAGTACTCTTTCAATTTATCCTCCTATGAAATATATCTTATACAACATACTATCAAAACACCTAGCTATCAAGACCACCTAATTCAACTATATAACAATATCTCAAACTTAAACACAACTGACTTACAATTCTATACTGATGCTTCTATTAAAAATCTCTTAACACCTAATATACAGACCGGCATCGGTTGGATCTGTAAAAATAACTCTTCTATTAATTTTTGCACAGCAATTCCTGCTTCTTCTAACTCTACTTGCTCAGAACTAATAGCAATTATTCCTCTAATTCTTACCTTACCAATCAATTCTACACTTACTATCTATATAGACAATCTTTTAGCAATTAAAGGCTTATCAAATCTTATATCTCACAAACTTATCCAACAAAAAAACTAGGATATCATCTTTATTATCAACTCTCTTATAATAACTAAAAATATTTCTATTAATCTTATCAAAGTCAAATCACATTCAAACAACTCTCTCCATAACCAAGCTGACCTTCTAGTCAAACACGGTACAACTAAACCAATTATTGAAATTCTTATTTCACACTTTAATCTTTCTATTAACTTCATTTGGTACAACCATACAATAATACTGAAAATTCGTTCATTCATTAAAAGCACTATTACAATTCAAGAACTTCTTTCATAAACCTCTTTCAAATTCTTTAATAATTATATATCTAATATAAATTGGAATCTTATCTTCAAAGTTCTTAACTCCCTTGAGCATTGCTCTTCAAAATACTTCTTTTATATTAAAGTTCTTACAAATAATCTATCTATTATGCAAAACCTTAAAATCTGATACTCCAATCTCTATACAACAGATGGCTGTTGCAAATGCTCTGCAATAGAAAATACTCTTCACATACTTCTATATCCAAAAAACAATGAAGATATTCAACAATAATTTCTTAATATAACCTCAAACACAATAAATCAACTTGAAATTACATCTACTTCATCAATTACAATCCTCAATACTCTCTCACAAGCTATATTCAATACTATAAACCCCCAATATAATTTCTTACTTCTTACCATTCTTGGCATTTACTCAAAACCAATTTATCATACTCTTAAAACTCTACTCAAAAAACAACTAAATTATTTGCAATCAGTCTTTCAAACAATTTCTTTAAATGGTTCTATCATGAAATATGGCCTCAACAAAATATACATCAACACCAATAGGAATTGGCCCGAAATATTACTAATAAAACCAAATAAACTAAATTTTCTCTTCCACTCATCACCAATCGATCAAATACAGAAACAACTACTACTCAACTACCAAATTTACGCTCTACCATTGAAAAATAGTACTTGTAAGAATTCTTCCTAACAACATGTCTTATATAATGTTATGATAAACACCTTAGGGTTTTCTCTAACCTATCCTAGCTAGATTTATTTTATTTATTTAAACTTATAATAGCACAAATTAGAAAATAGAAGGTGTAATGTCATATTGGGTGTTTTGTAGCACAAGTGTAGTTAGAAATCTTTAGCTATAGAAATTCTTTTCTAATCAATCTTCCCATAATTTACTCATTCAAGTTGAAGGGTTTTGGCAGCCTGGTTATAAATAAATAACTTATCTGTCCCCTTACCTGAATCTGTAAACTATGGAAAAACCTTCAATTTTTGAACTAATTGTAATAAAGTTTCTACTGTAACATTATAATAATAAAAAAAATAAAAAAATAAAAAAAAATAAAGTACTCTAAGTCTAAATACTCATCTTGATATTTTTTTTTAAAAAAAGCTATATATAAGCACTATATATCTAAATTTTAAAAAAAAATAGTCTAGTAAAAGGTAAACAAAAGGCTTTACTATAAGTTTTGGTAAAAAGCTTTGTATATATTATTTATTTATACTAATAATAAATCTAAATATATTTTCTTCTATATTAGAAATTATTTTATTAGATTTTTAGATCTTGTTGCATTCTTACAAATCAATATGATATTGTATTTTATTTTATTTTTTTACTTTATTTTAATTTAATTTAATTATTTTATTTTAATTATATATAAGTACTATACTGTATATCTGAATTCCAAAAATCAGTTCACTAAAAGGCAAACAAAAGACTCCACTGTAAGTTATAATAAAAGAGATTATTTTGTTAGATCTTTAAATCTTGTTGCATTCTTATAAATTAATATGCAAAATTAATATATTGTATTTTATTTTTTTAAAAAATTTAATTTAATTTATTAATTTAATTTAATTATTTTATTTTATTTTATAAAGATTGCTTTGTCAGATTTTAGATTTTATTGTATTTTTATATATGAACCAATATGCAAAATTAATATATTATATTTTATTTTTTAATTTAATTTAATTTATTTTATTTTATTTTGTAATATTTATTGATTTTAAAGTTTTTGTAATGTCTGCTTTAATAAAAGTGCTCAATAATTTACAAATTTAACTTCTTTATCATCATTACAAGGAGTATTCTTTTCGGATTCTTTAATTACAGTACTTTTCTTTATTTATTTTTTTTTCTATTATTAAGATTTTGTAGCCTTTTTAGTAAAAACTGAATATATTTATAAATACCATCTTGCAAGAATAAGAGGCAGTACAAATATTTAGATCTATTGTAGTCATAACAAAATTTATGATATATATAACTATAAACTAGAACTTTAATAGTATTTATATTAACAAAAAAAGAAAGACAGTTAGATGTATTATAGTAGTGAGATAAATTTGATTTACACAAGAATTAAAACTCAAAGAAAAGAGGCATAGTTGTACTTCTGGCATCTTTATTATGATTAATAGAATAGTTTTAATATTTTTATTACAGTCTGACCTCTCTATAGTCACACCTCTATATAAGCACCTAATATTGTGTAATGGACTTAAATATAGTAAAAAAATCTTTTTATAGTTACAAATCACTTATAATCACTATTACAAAAAAATTTGGATTTTTTTATCAATTTTATTAGTAAAAACCCTCTTTATAGTCACAAAATTTGACTAAATATAGATTACAGAATCTGATTGGCCAATATTCACATTCATACTTATTTAAAATATTCTATTAAAAATTTTTAAAAGTTTGAAGGCAAATATCTTTTGGTGCAGTAGTCCAATTTAAATAAAACAACCACCAAAATGTTCGTCTCAATGAGATGATTTTAATGAGTCCAAGATAATTAAAATCTAATTACATGCTTCTGTGATAGTTAAGAATTTGTACACTTTATATAATTAAAATTGATTAAATTTAAATATCTTAGTCAAAAATTCTTAATGAACTTAGCATCTTGCAATTAGATTTGGATAATTTGGACTCTCTAAAATCATCTCATTGAGTCAAATACTAGTAGATATTTTATCCAAATTGGTTCACTGGATCAAAAGATACTTACTATCAAACATTTTAAAATTTTTAATAGTAATTTAAATATACATAAATATATTACTTATTGGCCTTTGGTCACATAACTATGAAAGGTTTTTATTTATAGTCACATTTCTATATAATCACCAAAATAGGATGTGACCAACTTGTGATTATAGAGAGGTCTGACTGTATGTTTTTTTTTGGAAGATAAACCTGTTTGTAAAGAAAAAAGATATTAATAAATTATAATAATAAAAATGTAAATAAATTTTAAAAAAAATATTATAAAAGAAAACAAGCACTTTTTAATTAATACTGTTATATCTTGTACAAGTACTCTTGCATTGTCTAACTAGATATATGTGTAAAATTTTCTTTAAACCTATTAATATTAGTATGTAGTTGATTAATATAATATCTGTATTTAATTATTTGTTTTGCTTCTATATACTTCTGTATACTTTTATACAAAAAGCTATAAAATATCTCAACTATTGAATCCAAAAATTTTGAAAAATTATTCTTGATTGTATCTAGAATTAGATAATTATTTAACTCCTAAAAAAATATGTCAAAAAGAAATATTAGTAATGTCTTTGTGTAATTTTTGTATTGAAATTTAAAAAATATAGTTCAAACCCAAAAACAAAACCCAAAATATAAGTCAAAACAAAAGAATATAGTATAAATATCTAGTACAAATTGAATCATATTATCATGAAGCTCCTTAAATACAAGATATTTAGCATTTTTATACAAAGTTCTAATATTTACTTCAATGTTCAAAGCAATCTCTTATTAGGCACTATAAAAAATCTCTAAAAGAAAATTAATTTAAGGTTTTGTACAAGAGACTTTTATTCTTCAAAGATATACTTATATATAGCAAAAAAAAAAGCTAGTACTGAAAAAATACTAGTTCTTGACTATTTAACAAAATGTAAAGAGAAGAAAAAAGATAATATTTTGTTAATAGATAGGATTTAGGCTTTTGTACTACTAGTAGTATAGTTAGAAAAATAATTTAAAAATCTAAAACATTTTATATAGTTATAATTTTTATATACAAAAATCTAATTAGTATTCAAGTATAGTTTTGCAAAATTTTTTTTAATATTAATAATAAACTTCTTTAAAAAAAAAATCTTTAGTAATTGCAATTTTTGAAATTTAAAATACACTATGTATAATATACTATAAACACTAAATTTATTAAAAATTTTTTTAATAAAGTAGTAAATTTAAAGTTCAATTATATAAAAAATAATTAAAGCTTACTATAAAAAACATTTTATTATTAGTTATATTATAAGAGTAAATATTATTGTTGCCCATCTGTTATATGACATATTTGTAACGGATCATGTGCAATATATAAGCAATGATTATTATTGATAATCATTGCTTTTTTTTTTTTTTTTTTCTAGCGTGTATATGTTTTGCTAACAAAACACTTTTTTTTCAGGTAACTAGGCGTCATTATTGGAGTTGTCATCTTTGGAGTTATCATCTTTGGAGCTATCATTTGTGGAGTCGTTGCTACTGGAGCTAGTCTTTGCTGGTGTAATGCCATCGTCGATTTCAGTAGGCTTTGTAGTGCATCATTGATGGCATTTTGCCTGTATAAATTCATAGATTTTGCTTTTCTAGTATGTGTATTTTATTAATCACCCTCTTTTTTTCAGGCAACTAGGTGTCGTTACTGGAGTCGTTGTTTGTGGAGTTTTCGTCGCTAAAGCTAGTCTTTGTTGGTGTGGTGCTGTCGTCGATTTCAGTGGGCTTTGTGGTGCATCGTTACTAGCATTTCACCTGTATATATGTTTACTAACCAAACTCTTTTTTTCAGGTAACTAGGCATTGTTATTAAAGTTATCGTTTGTGGAGTCTTTGTCGCTGGAGCTAGTCTTCGTTGGTGTTGTGACGTCATTGATTTTGGTGGATTTTGTGGTGCATCGTTATGTTGTGCCGTCATTGATTTCAGTGGATTTTGTGGTGCATTATTATGTTGTGCCATCTTTGATTTCGGTAGATTTTGTGTTGTATCTAGTCATTCTACCCAAACTCTTTTTTTTAGTTACGGCGTTTCTACTTAGTTTGGGTTTGGAATTTGGAATTTATACATAGTTTCGACCTAAAACCCAAACCCAAATAAACATCCCAAATTAATAAATAGTATCAAACTTAAAAACTAATTAAATTTATTATATTAATTATGAATATTACTTAAATTCTATGAATTACAATAAATAAAT